TATGAATTGGGGCTTTGAGTGAAACTATGCAAAATATATTGAGAAATTTTAATATTTTGTTTATTTATCCATAGATTTCTTGGGTAGGTGGGCACCAGCTTCAAATAGACAGCTGTAGCCCTCTCTTCTCTGCTGTCATAGGGAATCATCTTGAAGCAAAATGTGAAATATAAAAGTGTTAGCAGTGTACCTATTGAACTAGAAAAAAATCTGTGTAACCAAAATTATTAAGTTAATGATAGAATGTTTTGAAGGTCACTAATTCATAAGGTTGCCATAAATTGGAAGCAAGTTGATTACGTATAGAATGCACACAACCAAAATGAATTTGTGGCTGGTTGGGTCTCAATCACAGATCAGGACTAAATCATCGTTTGGAATGAACATTATAAATACCAGATCAAAATATACATAAATCAAAGAAAGACAGTGAGAACAATAACCTTGAAAAAGACATACAAATCCCAGTTATCTTTCTAAACTTGGAATGCTTTTGCAAGTGATAATAAAAAAAGTTCCATGTTCAGGGATGGACAACACGAGGAGACTTATACTACATAATCTGCTGTTAACTGAACCCCAGCTAACTGGTGTTCTCTGGTATGGAAAGGTTATTTCCATCCCTGGGGGGTTAGCTTTTGTTCCTGGTGTAGTCCAGCTCTCACAGTCCACAGCAGTTAAGAAGGAGCTGGCCAACTTCCCCAAGGTCAGCCAGTTGTATAGGAGAGAGAAGCTGCCTGCTGGCGGGCTTCCCCCAAGGATGGAAAGTGCAGTCAGGCACATAAGGCTGCAGTCAGATCCAGTGAATCACTGACTCTCTTAATGCATCTGATATTTCCAAATGCTTCAAAAAATTGGCAATGTATATATTTATGATCAGGGTATCTTTGTTGGAAGAGGATAATGGAGCATACAGGCCATTAGGTGAAAATGAAAAATGTGCTAAGAAAGTGATTTTTGTTCCACTGCCCAGGAACAATTTTTTCTTAGTAGTCTAAGGTAACCCTACTGGCCTTGACCGAAATGTTCTCCAGACAAAAATTTCCTGCAGTTTATTGTCAAGATACATTTAAAAACAGAAACCTAAAGTCATTTTTGAACCTTACTGTTTTAAGATTTTGGGCTTTTTGCCTGCTTTGAGCCTAAGTGGGCTCCAGATCACTGGAGTGCAGTAAAGTAATTAATTGAAGCATGAGCCAAACTTTATCTGCCTACATCTTTGCCTCTCTGGACCAACACAATTCTTTGCAAGCACAAACACGTCCCATTTTAGCTCCATACCAAATACAAATGCATGTGTATTTACAATAATTTATTTTAAAACAATGACAACAACATGTTTTCATGGGAAATCGCACCATTTGGCTTAGTGGCAATGTTACAGAGAAACAGCATACACAAAGCTAGTGCATACAGCCATACCATACACGAGTTTATAGATCACATTTTAATGTTTCAAAGGAAGGTATATTGATTTGCAAGATAAGAAAAAAGCAGAAAAGAAGGAGATAAATATCCTTGCGATCTGAGTCTGTCACTGCAGGCCTTCTGGGATGGGCTCAGTGGCAGTTTTCCTCATCTGATACTATAGGAATGACCAGCTGCTCACCAGCATTATTCCGCATGCTTTATGCTGATTGCGGGATACTGGTCCATGCCAAACTCCAAGTGCAAGCTTAGCCTATTCAAGAGCTTATAGCCTATCTAAAAACTTGCCAGATGTTAAAGGAACATCTTGTAGTTCTTTGACAAAAGCCAAGCTTTGTAAGATTATTACATTTTTGGAAAGCTATCAACAACAATCCGTTCTTCTAGACAAAGAGAAAGTCAAGCAGAGCTGATTTATGGGAGATAGGCCAAGATACTATAAGCACAAGAAGGATATAAAACTGCTCACAACAAGTAGCAAAAGGCTTCCCTCAAATAAGTTCCCCTTCAAATAGTTATCATAACTAAAACAATCCTACACACTGTTTGGTGATGAATTTTTTTTAGCATGAATGCACTGTTATATATTATCTCCTCCCACCTACCTCCTCGTATGGCAAAATTGTTACTGGTATAGGTTTGTCAAATAGGTATACCAGATCCCCTGGTGGGGGTCTCCTGCTGGCAGGCCTCACCTCTCCGTCGCAGATCAGCTGGCCAGCAGGGGGGGGATGCCCCCAAAATGAGGGAGGAACATCTGACATTTCAGCGATGTGCCTACGTGACTTCAGTGTGACCTGGAAGTGATGTAGGCATGTTGGAGACATTGGGGCGACACTTGGGCAAAAACTCTATGGTAGTTCTTCCATAGGTATTTTTGCCTAAAAACCAGAGAGTTACCCCAATGTTCCTGATGTGCTTAATGTCACTTCCAGGTCACATTGGAAGTCATGTGGGCATGTCACTGAAATGTGCAAAGAAACTCACAGCTCCCAGTAAGGCTCCCCCCATTCCCTGCCGGTTGCCTGGAAGGACCTGGCAACCCGATTGTCAAATAGATCAAAGCCTGCTAAGAATGCATCTCAACACACACAAACACAATATGTAAATGAAAATAAAGACATTAAACAAGAAAAATAAAATTACTTGTTAGGGTGAATTTCTTATCTCCAGCCTAAAATGGACATATCCAAGGATTACTAATGGTATCTGCTGACTATAGACAATGGCTCTAATTGCTCTTTAGGAGTGAAATTTCTGGCTAGGCTATAACCAGTGTTAGCTTAGAACAGTATTTTCCATACTTATAACATTAGTTTGAACATAGACTTTGGAACAAAAATCTTAACTACATTTTCCACCCACTACTCAATATAGGAACTCTTATTCGGCGTCATCGGATTCCACTTCCACCTCCAGATGAAGATCAATTCTATACTGTGGATTATTTCAACCTTGACAAAGATGTGATCTTTTATGGTAGAAGATATAAGATTATAGATTGTGATCAGTTCACCAAGCATTTTTTGAGGAAGATAGGAGTCAGACTAAATCCTTCAGTAAATCGTCCAGAAGACCCCTATTCCAAAGAGCGTCAAAAGGTAAGATACTGGCTAGTGAAACTAGGTTGTAGTGCTAAAGCAATAAAAATGTTTCTATAGTGTAGAAAAGATTATTTCAACCTTGTCACAGGAGGAAATTTAAAATGCAGAGATAATACATTTGCAACTATGTACTTTTTATCAAGAGAAATAAATTCCAGTAAGATGCATACATCTAACAGACCATACAGTAAAATCTATTTTGTGTATTTCCTAACTGAATAGAAAAATTCTCTTTCTGTTAAAGGGCCAAAGAACAAAGAAGCAAAATTGTATCACATTTGTTTCTGCATAGTGTTCTGTTTATCATTTGTCATTGCAAAATTGGATGGTTTCAGAGTTAAATGAGATTTTAGTAAATATGGTTTGTTTGTTGTGTATTGCATGAAATTTCAGATATTAACCAGTATCCATTAGATAGCTTTGTGAATCAGGTATATTGTATTGCTGCTAGGGTTGCCAAATTCAAAACACTTACCGGTGGGGGAGCGTCCATTCGCTCCGGGAGCTGGCCGGGGATGCACGCGCGCGCGCCGCCAGAGCATCACCGGAAGTGACGTCACATGCTGGGCGTTTTCCCCTCAAATTGCGTGGCCCCGCCCCCAGCGTGCGACGTCACTTCCGGTGATGCGCACGCTGGGGCGGGGTTCCCCCCGGGCCCCGATTCCCCGGCGTCTGGGAACGGGGCCTCCGGGGCGGGGGATTTCCGCCCTACCGGGGGAGTTGGCAGCCCTAATTGCTGCAGCTAGTTGACCATTCCTTTGTTAGATTAATAACTCAGAATAGTCAGATGAAGTTTTCTCAATCAGAATTAAGTATTAAGGGAGAATCTCCCAATAGGATTGGTAAGTATTCATCAGAACCTGCACAGGGTGGTCCCGCCAAGATGAGAGTTGGGTTCAAGTATGTGTATGTGAAGGAACAGCAGCTTTGACTTTGGAAGACACTGAGGAGCAAACAGCTTTTAGCTAGCTGAAGCACCTTAGGATGCAGTTCTCCCTCCCTCCCTCCCTCTTTCCCCCTCTGGGGTGGAGGGTAGAGTATCTGCTGCTCAGCAGGAGTGTCTCTTTGCTTCCACTTGCATTTTGTTTGTATACTTTCAAATAAAACACATATTTTAAGATGTCACAAAATTCCAGTGATCTTCCAGTGATAGGAAATCAACCCAGTGATGTCTTTTAATAAATACAAAATTAATAACAAATTATTCCATGATGCACACACCCACAGCTACTAAGATAAGAGGGACCAAAGCCATGAAAGGCTTTGTATGTGATAGCCAATACCATAAATTCAGCTTGGTAACAAATGGGCAACCAATGAAGTGTCTGCAGAATGGGAGTAATATGCAGGCTCCATCTAGCTCCCTGATAATAGCTGAGCAGTTGCATTCTACACCAGTTGGAGTTTCCCGATTGATTTTGAGGGGAGGACCAGTGTACAGTGCATTGCTGTAGTCTAGTATCAGAGTTACTGTGGCATGGATCCAGGTGGCTAGTTCAGCCTACACAGCGATCTGAGAACTGTGTAACAGTATGATAGATTGTGCTGCAACTTAACATTGTATGTCTGTCCCATCTCTCTGAGGTTTTTAAGATGATGACTTTGAAGGCATTTGCCGTGTCTTATGATTTTCCAACATCTTTGCAGAGCTAGTTATGTATACAGGCCCTTGAGCTGAAAATAATGATTAATTCAGGAGCAAATGTTGCTTGCTTGCTTCATTTCTAAACTGCCTTTCTCACTGTGACAGCTATGCACCTCTCCTCTGTTTATAAGAAAACAGTTTAATGCGAGATTTGCGGAAGGAGAGGATAGCGGCGCAGCGTACGGGTGGAGTGGGGCTTTGCTCCGTCCCGCCCGAACCTCTACGGCTCTTTCTGATCCTCCCGAGAGTCAGGAGAGTTTGGCCAGTCCTCCCGAAGAGGGGGCCGGAGCATGGGGCGTCTTTCCTGGCCCTCCCCGTTTTTCGGCACGCGGGGGGGTGACCGGGAACAGCCCCGAAGCGGGACCGTTTGAGGGGAAGAACATGGCGTTTGCCATGCTCGGAAAAGCTGCAGCCATCCGGACTTGTTTTTAATCAACACGAGGTGGCAATTCAACACAGCATCATAGAACGGGAAGAAAATGTGAGTCAAAATATAAGTAAAATCCCCAAATGGAAAGTCCACAGTATGGGTGAGACACGGCCGAGAAAATAAAGGGACTTAAAGTTGTGCTGCTATTCGGAGGGGAGAAGAATTGGAGCTCTAATACCTTCATATTTTTGGTGGACTGGGTCTTAGTAATAAGGATATAAATGGAAGAAAAGGATTGATGAACAATTTGTAACGAAGGAGAACTTTATGTTTTTGAAAACTGACTGCTGAATTGAGTAAGAGGTTGAAAATGCAGGGAGAGACGGTAATGGAGGAGACAGACGAGAATGTGGTGTTGTGCAACTTGAATATTGAACAGTTTCTTACTATTTTGAAAGAAGCGGTTAAAGAGGGATGTAAACAGGCATGTGCAGAAATTTTGAGAAAATTGAGGGCGAGACAGGAAGAAACGGGAAAAAACGAAGAGTGGAAACAAGCCAGTTTGAGTGAAAGCCCAGGTGACTAAGGAGAGAGAGAATAGTTCTGGAAGCCAAAAAAGGCTGAAAGACCAAAGACATGCAGATAAGCTCTGGCTGAAAACCAGGTTGCAGATGCTTAGAAGGAAAAATAAACTTTATAAAAGATAGATTAATGGTTACATTTCATACCTGATAAAATGGATTAATGACCTTGATTATGTTTATGTAAACGGTTTAATTTATGTTTGTTCCACTCTATTATTATTATTATTACTTCAGCCAGTATGGTGAGGCTATTTTTTATTAAATTAAAAATTGTAAGAAGATTGATGGGGAAAAATATTTAAAAAGGGGTAATATGATGAATAAATTGATAACCAAAGGAGGATATTTGAAAAAACAATATGATAAGTCTGTTGTAGGGATTCATATTTAATTATTTGTGCAAAAAAATTTTGTGTGTGCATAGGTCTCAGAAAGGTCTCGTATTAAGAATAACAAACTATGATTAATTAGTTACAAATCTGTAAGATTAGATTACAGTGTTAAAGGGGTAGACCCATAGGAATTGTATGTTTATAAATGAAGATGATTTATAGGAAATGTATGTTTATAGTTAATCCAGCAGTAGATAAAATATAAAATTATTTAGTATGGGTTATAGGGTTAGTTAGAGCGTGAAATTTAGTTAAGATAGGGTATATGTTCTAAAGGTAATGCAAATTGGGCTACAGTACTTGATATAAATTGTTAGTAAGGTTGAGAATAAGAAATGAATTTCTAGTGAAGTACGTTATTTGATTGATGTGATGCTTTATGTTGTTGGAAAGGGGAAATGTTTGGTTTTCTGTTATATGTAGGGTGTGTGTGGTGGTGGTGTGTAGATGCGTGATGTTTTAAGGTGTGGAAAATGATAAAAAATATTCAAAAAATAAATAAAACAGTTTAATGCAAAGAATGTGGATAATTGAGCCCAGGGACATGTGCTCTTTTTTTCCCCTTCAATCCCCCTAGGGGAGGTTTTTATTGGGTTTTTTTTGTAGACTACAAAACTACAACAGAAAATATAGGGAAGGGAACTACAACTAGGGAAAACAGAAGAGAAACCCACAACTAACTAAAAACCCAAGAGTAGGAGATCAATATCTCATCTTATCATCATGCTATTTTCAAAAAACAATCAATAATACAATGAATTTAGTCAGTTATGCTAGATTATTATTATTTAACCATCCCTTTAACTGTTTATAGAGATCTCCAGAGCATTTCCAAGTTATTTCAACATTTTTTTCAACATCAGAGTCCTTCTGCCCTTATTTGTTCTTATCTTTTCTAATCCTCAATTTATGTAGGCCTTTGGGGGCAGCCACCCCCTTTTCTGAAGGGGAGTCCTCGTCCGAAGTCCCCGAGCCCAACTCGCCATCAGATTTGCTTTCTTCTTCCTCCCCTTTGCCCTCCTCTGGTTCCCCAAGCTGTGTTCGCAGAAATTCCCGTGCTTTGAAAACAGAGTCAATCTTTTATTTTTTATCATGGAGCTTGAAAACGATGCATTCTGGGATTACCCATCTGTAACTGATAGAATTTGTTTGTAAGAAAATGATTAATTTTTTATAGTTCTTTCTCCTCTGTCTTATATAAAATGGAATGTCTTTTAAAATCTTGATATTATTGTCCCCAATTTTCAAGGGTGTTCCCGAAGTTGCTTTCAAAATAGCATCTCTCACATTTCTCTTCGAGAATCTGACCCCTATTTTCCCAGGCAGATTATTTTTCTTGATGTATGTTGAATAAGATCTGTAGACCACATCCATCTCGCCGCAAAGATACTCCGCTGTTAAATCTGTCATTGGGGCTATTGCTTCACTCAACCGTTGCTTCAGATTCTCTCCTCTAAATTCTGGGACCCCTTGGAACCGAAGGACCAAATTTGCTTTATCCTCTTCTGTAGCTTGCTTCATTTCCAGCTTTTGCATCTTTTTCTTAACTTTTTTAGTAGTGACGTCCATTTCCTTCACCTTCTCTCCCATTTGCTCTGTTGCTTTTAAGGCTTGGGTCAGTTGGATCTGCTGCGCTGCGAGACTCTGCCCAATTACTGACAGTTGTTGTTTAATGCAGCAGGGGGTGCAGGGAGTCAGCTAAGAGCTTTGAGAGCTCAGTGACCCCATCCGTTCGAGTACTAGCCCCTAGTTTCGATTTCAACGGCTTCTCTTTCTCCTGTTTCTTCCCCATCATCTTTTTGGATTTGTTTACTTTTCAAAGAAGTTGCTAAAGACTCTGATATTCGGCCAAATGCTTTTCTGCGCTCTGGTTAGTCTCTTAAAACAGTTTTAGTCGCTTATTTTTCCACTTCCCCCTCTTTCCTTCCGTGTTTCGTTGTTTGGGAGGGATCCCTCCCCTGCTCGCTTTCCCATTGCTCTTTGTGGGGGCAGTTTCTTTTTATATC